CTGTGTTTATGTTCATTTTATTTTGTAGTAAACGAACAGTTTTGGTCTGCTATTTCTTTTTGGACCCAAATTTTTCTGTTATTTGATTGTTCAATGCTCCGCATAATCTATTCAACAAATGCTAGAGCTGTTTGTTCTAGCTGTATTTGTTCTCATAATTCCCAACTTTTCTAAATTCTTTTTTCATATTTTTTCTTTTTTTAAACACATCAAAATCAAATTTTTATCGGTTTATATGACGGCTACACATCAAAAACAAATATTTTTATGCCACTGTTATTAGACAACTAGATTTTTCTCAAGTATTTTCGATATTACTATGTGTGCATAACTTATTGCTCATACTTTGCGAGGAATTAATACCGATAATTAATTTGAAGATAGAAACCGCTTGCAATGAGTATGGAACGACGATAGTCGTTGGTTCTATTTAGCTGTTAAAATAAATGGATTAAAAACTTGATTGCCAGATATTGAGTTATGAGTGGGAATAGATCAATTAAATCAATATCGCTTGGACCATTGCTGTTTGATCTCGCAGCCTGTTTTGGTTTAGGTATGATGTTATATGCTCATTTAAGTATTGGTATAACTTTTGTCGTGAATTTGTTGCAAAAATTCGACAAATGTAAATATAGAACTTTATATTAGTGTTTTCCTTTTTAATCGCTTATTTACACCTAATCAGGTTCAAAAATTCAGCTTTACTGTTTATCTTGGTACCCGAATTGTCAATTCGTCCGTATCAAAGAGGTTTTTTTTGTAACGATGAATCATTACGTTTACCTTACAAGGATGACACTATACCGCCTGGTCTTCTTGTTGTCATACTCCTAATCATAGGTGTTGGAATTGTAGGTTTACGTATGTGTCATAATATCGATAATTATTTTTTATCTTTTTCTGCCATCTTTTGAACAGGAGAACTTTTAGCTAGCAAATATACTAAAAAAGGCGTTTTTGTATCGCTAAAAAACCGTTATTCAAACCATAAAACATTCCAGTGCTTTCATGCATAATCCATGAATAAATGATGAGGAAAAAAGAAATGTTAAATGTTGGAGAGAAAATATACAGTTTACATTTCTTGATTAGCTTTTTTTATGTATTTATAAAATCAATTAGTCACAGTATATTTAATAGAAACTAAAAAATACGCACTCGACTTTGTGAAACTAAAAAGCTGCAGTTATTCCAGCTAAGAAATGCTTTCAAAGACCAAACATTTCAGATTGCATCGACAGAAGTATATCGTGACTTTCGGTTGCGTAATCTTGACTCACCGAATTATGTGCTTCATGGAGTGGATATCAACAGAGTTGTTGTGCGCTTTTCCACTTACTTCGGTATATGATTTTAAGCCTGCAAAACCAAAACAATAAGTAATATCAGTATGCAAAATAACTTGAAAAAAGTCGTCAATAGTGGAGTATTTTAATTCAAACATTGCCGTTTACAATAAAAATGTTAAACTTGTTAAATACATAAAGTTAAAGATATATTAAAGTATGCAGACGGTATGAAAATAAAAGTAATATTCAGGTAAAAAAATAATAATTTGAATTCTTATTGTTTTATCATTGTTCCTGAGAAAAGTTTTTAGGGGAATATCGTTTTTTCTGTTAATAAAAAACAGGATGTCTTGAAAGGTAACTGATCGAGCAGTACTTTCAGGTTACTGCATGATCGGAATGTGCTTCGAATATGTCACTTGTGAAGCTACGAAATTGGCTGTGGGACGTTTACGACCACATTTTATTGATGTTTGTAAACCAAACATAGGATATTTAACCTGTAATAACCCGTACGTCTATATAACAAATTATACTTGTACAAGTTCATTTTCTGAATACTTAAAAAAAGAAGCTCACGTCTCCTTCTACAGTGGTCATACCGCAACTACGATGCACGTCGTAGCCTATTGTGTTGTAAGTTTATATCTTTTAGCCAGCAAACTAACATTCAACTATATAACCTCTCTTTATTTCGTACTGTCTCAGAATTTCAAATTTTTAGCTCACCAGATTTTTTGCTGTACTTTGGAATTATTTTGTTTTTTAACAGTGCTGTAAGAAAGAATTCCTGCTGATTCGTCAACATAGTGAACGAAGAAAGACTTAAAGCATAGATTATAACAATTAAGAAGATTGTATTCTGGAAATTAGTTTTGTATAACAGCTTTACCATTACTTCTGTTAGCAAAAACAGTTTTTGTTCGTCTTGCTGATTTTATTGTTTTTACTTTTCTTTATCTTTTCTTGCCTTTTCAGTTGTTTTTGAAGGCAGTGTCTATTTTTACATATGTTTTTTGCTCTCAGATACTATCCTCTAACATAAGTAGATGGTGATGATGACAAAAATTTATGAATAAAAACCGCAAAATGTAACTATAATAACCTTTTGTGCTGAGTAGATGAGAAGGGTTATGATAGTGATAGTGCTTTATCAAGGTGTTAGAATTCACTTATGAGAGTCAAAATCCTCATCAGCAAAATTTGAAGAAGAATGCGGAATTTATTTCAGGAAATTAAAGGTTTTTTTTATTTTAAAGGTAAATGTTTATTTATCCTCACTAAAATTTTACCCATCTCATGGGATAAAAATTTCCATTCCTGTCTTTGATATCATTCTTTCTGGAGTAGAACATGCGGGTCATTAAGACGAAACAATTCCCTCCGTCTTTCTTCGTCTAATTATGAAGGTTCTGTTTTTTGCATAAAAAGAGCTTCAAAGAAAAAATCTCATGAAAGTTCAATAAAAGTTTATATGTTCACTATATAGGTGTCTAATACTTAGAAAATTTTAAGATATATTTATATGTGCGGCTTCCAAGGCGAATTTATGGTGTGACATTGGTGCCAATAATACAAACCATATTGACTACTGCTGGTATTCTAGTCGGTTATTCGCGAATCAGTGATCACAAACACCACTGGTCTGACGTATTTGCAGGTGTTGTTGTCGGAGTTATTACGGGATCATTCAGTGTAAGCATTTTTGGCTTTAAAGCACTACTCAACTTTCAAGTCTCTACATTTTTCCGATAAAAAAGTGTAACGCTGACAGTTCTAATTTCAAGTTTTTAATTTGACACTGTTTACTGGACCAGATATCATTTCACAAGACTTGTAAGAATGCTGTCAAACAATATAATGAGCAACTACACTGACAAATCAGACCAATGAGTTGGAGGAAAAAATTGTTATCTAACTGCCGTCTTTCAAATAGGTTTGCTAAATTTGAAATGGGTCAGCAAAGGGAAATTATTTCAAAAAAAAAAAAAAGCACATAACAGTTTCTGCAAAACTGTGTGCTTTCAAAGATATGTTTTTATAAACAGCAGTGTTCTATTAATTATTTTTACTCAAATTTTGTAAATGCTGTATAAAGTCTATAATATCTTGCAGGCTATTTTTTTGGCAAGGTTATTTAAACGACAAAAGTTTCTGCTTAGTAAAAGCCAAGAACTGCTAATTGTGGACTACAATGACACAGAAGACTTCGTTCCTGAGAATAGGACGAGAATAAATACTCCTAGCGAAACTGCGCAATCTAATGCTTTCCAGGATTCTCAACAAAGCCGTAGCCAACTGCCATCCACTGCAGATGCGCAAGTTCGGTTTTCATCTACCGGTTTCGCTTCTCATCATAATACCGCTTACGAGGGAGATCGAGTTTTTGTTCCTCCAAATGAAAGTAATTCACAATTTGTTACCAAGATTAGTACATCTTTTGCGCCATTTGATGAGAATTATTCAAAAACACATCAAATAGCAATTACATGATTGCATAACTGACTAAAATTTAATAAAGGTTCAGATAGACTTGAAGAATGTCAACTTTAACAGTATTGTGATACCATTGTTACCAAGAATGAATTGGCGAATTAAAGTCATTTATCACAGTTTTAAGGATAAAATTTTTAATGATTTTTGTTTTTTTCGTTATTTAGCCTTGTGTAACGTGTCAATCAGGTAGAGATCTAGTTCAAAGTTATCAGCTGAGCTACCAAAGTGTAATTATCTATTAAAAAGCTACTTGTTTGTTGAACCTTATAAATATGCTAGTAATAATATAATTATATTATAGAATTTTATATGCAACAGTGTTGAACTGATGCTCATTACTGCCTTTAGAAATGTTGATTTCTATTTTACCCAGAAAAGATGAAAGAATTAAAACATACTTTGCATGTTCTGTAGTGTGCAATGTCGTGAACGGATACATATGATAAACCGTTTGTTTGTTGTAAAATAGAGAAGTTCAAACAACTCGTTCAAAATTGTCAATGTTTCTTGTTATTTATTCACTTATTGCAGTGTACGTGTATTCATTTCCTCTTCAGTGAATAAAAGACAACCGTGAAGACTTGTAATTTACCTCGAGAAGACACGAAAAAATAATTCATATTTTATGCTGAGCAACTTATTGTCATCAATTCTTAGGTATTTTGTTATGTTTATGTACCGCTGTTCAGAACCGGCAGTACATAGGCGTTTTTGATTTTTGAAGAGTTTTTGAGAGACACAGAAGTGTAACATACTGACTGGTTTAAAAGGCGTAAAAAAACTTTCTTTCACTAGTGAAGAACTGCTTTTTTTTT